ATGTTAATTTATACTCATCCTATTTGATATTCAAACTAAAAAGTAGAGCTTACATTCTATGTTGTTTGTACCTTTTTATAAATATAAGTAGCCTATGCATTATAGGGTAGCCTAAGTGTTTGTATTTAGCACTCCATCAAGAGTCAATATGAACTAGAATTTCCTTTTTGCTTCAGCTGTTTTGGTCTATGTCTCTAAAAATTATCCAAAAGAACGAATTTTTGGTCTCTGAGTTATTTTGTAAAAACAAACCTATTCATATAGAAAGAAGTGCACTTCTATTAGGTGCTCTTCTACACTAGTTCCCAGATCTAATCTGAATGTAGCTCTATTAATCAGCTATGATAAGTTTTCCTCTAGTTGAAATAGAAATGTATCATCACAGCACAACCCTGCCACCACCATGTTTCAGGGTGAGGGCAGCATGTGTGTTTGGGCTAATATGCAGTGTTGGTTCAAACAGAGTTGCCATTGGATTTTGGCTGCTTGTCTCAATCCAATCCACTTTATTTATATAGCACATTTAACAACAAAAATGGTTCCTATGTGCTGTACATAAAAACAAACAAATAAATAAATAAATAAAAAGGACACAGAAGACCACACAATTATGCAGTGTTAAAAGTAAAAGCGGGCCTTATGATGAGACTTCAAACCCTCCACTGTGGAGGCTGTTCGTATACAGAGGGGCAAAGTATTCCACAGTCTGGGGCCAGCTAGAGAAAAGCCTCTGTCCTCTCTGGTTTTAAGCCTCTTCTTAGGCACTATTAGCTGTAGATGGCCCTCAGACCTCAGAGCGTGTGCTGGAGAGGGTTGGTAATGTATGTATTGAGGAGCCATCCCATTCAAAGCTCTAAACACAAACACACAAAATCTTAAAATAATTTCTAAACTGAACAGGGAGCCAGTGCAGAGATCCAAGAATTAGTGTGATGTGTTGATTTTTTCCGGTCCCCATTAAAAGACGAGCCGCTACGTTTTGGACTAGCTGCAGATGGGAGAGGGCTAATGCCTGAATAAAGTGCACTGCAGAAGTCCAGATGGCTGGAAATAAAAGTTTAAAAACTGATGAAAGAGTTTAAAATATAAAAACAGTTTTACCCTAGATAAAAATCTGACTGTTGGCTAAAACGTATCCACAACTTTGTCCTTTACCCGTCTTCCATGTTCCCTGATTTTCCCATTACTGCTTGTGAGCTTACTGTATGCGTTTTCTAAAACACATTCCTGCACAAAACAGCTGTATTACTACCTAGACTAAATTTGACCTATTATAAGTATTATTGAAGGTATTATAGTGAATGAGGCTGAATATACATGCAAACTGCACAAGGATTTCTGTCTTCTTCCACTTCTCAATCATTCATTACTGTACTTTGTGTTGGTCTTCACATACATTTTGTATAAAATGCATAAATTGAATTAAGTAGTTGATGTTTTTGACTCTATTTTTACAAAAAGTACCATCCCTTTTTGCTGGATATGATGACGCTCATTACTCCCTCACTTTCTTTCAGATTTCTGTTGTCACAGAGATGTTTTTGGATCTCTCTCTTCCTGTTTCCGATGAGGTGAAGGAGTTGTTTTTATTTTGTCTGTGTGTTGATATTAATCTTTAAGTTTCTGTTGACATGTCTGTGCCTCTTCTTGGAAACCTTTCGCAGGCCTACAGAAAGAAAAACCCCAAAAAAGGAAACCCTAAGACCAGTGAGTCAAGTCAGGATGGTAGAGAGAGCCCTGATTTGACCAAAGGGAATGAGGACACTTCAATTGGATCCGGTAGCAAATATCAACAAAAAAAAGCTAAAAAGCAGGCAAAGAAGCAAGCCAAGGTATTCCAGTGAACCACTGTGGATATTTTTTTTTTGTTTGCAATAAATACAATTTCTGGTGTATAAGAATAAATTAAAATATATATTTTGCCCTTTTCTTAGCATCAAAAACGGCAGCAGAAGCTTGAAACCATAAAGACTTTAGGAAATCTGACATTTCCAAGCGATGCAAATGGTGAACCAACTGATGTCACTGAACATCCAAAAGACGCAGAGAACGTGGACGATGCGCCATGCGACGAAGCCTCATTGAATGAACAAGATCCTGAACCTGTCTGTGTATCTGAGCAGGATGAGGCTGTCGAGCAGGAGAAAGAGGAGGACAAGGATTCAGTGACTGACAGTGTCTCGTTAGCCGATTCTCCTGTCAGTAACCGTTTTAATGTCTTGTCAGAGGAACAGCACTCGCATGACGGCGCTTCCTGTAATGAAATGTCGAACGCGGATCTGGAAGGAGAACTGGACATGCAGCTGGCAAATAAACTGGAACAGGTGAATTTAGATGACGCATTTATAGACCCTGATGCCATGGAGCCGGCCGCGGAGAGCGAAGACGAAGCTGCAGAGGATATGGAATATACAGTGATAAACCAAGACCCAGAGACGGCCTTCGACACGCTCTCAACCAGGACAAGCCCAGAGAAACAGGAGTGTTCGGTGCAGTCTTGCCTTTTTCAGTTCACCGAAGTGGAAACTCTCACACAGAACAACAGCTTGCTGTGTGTCACCTGCACCAAGCAACGTAGGAGGAAAGAAAAAGCTGGAGGTACAAATGTTTACACGCTATATTAACATAAAATGTTGAAATTTAGCATTTTTTTTTTTCATATGATGAAATAATTTTCCTGTTTTTTTTGTTTTGTTTTTTTTTCTATTGGTTTAGGATCTGAAAAAAACATCTACACCGACGCCTTAAAGCAAATGTTGATCTCCTCCCCACCACCTGTACTTACCCTTCATTTGAAAAGATTTCAGCAGGCATGGCGGCTTATAAAAATACATCTAAATAATAAATTTTATTCTATTTTTTTAAGGCATCTGATCACCACAATTTTTTTTCCCCCTCTAGAATGGATACAGCATTTGTAAAGTGAACAGACAGGTTCAGTTTCCTTTGATTTTGGATCTTGCTCCTTATAGTTCAACCAAATGCAAGGTTTGTGTTGGAAATATTTGTTCCCATTTTTGTATAAGCTAGCAACCTTCAAATGACTAACCAACGTTTTCTCCCACACAGAATATCTCTGAAGGAGACACTCAGATTCTGTATAGCCTGTATGGCATCGTAGAGCACAGCGGGACCATGAGGTCAGGCCATTACACCGCCTATGTAAAAGTTCGACCTAACTCTCTTAAATCTCCATTAAATGATAAAAAAGGTAGGTGTATTTGACAGTGGCGATCAAGAAAACAATTATATTTGTTTGAAGTTATTAGTGCCTGTTAAAGGTGTTCATAACACTTGAACCTAGTACCAGAAATGTCTGCGTTTTGTCTTTTTGTGTGCTTTTTTTCCTTCTATGTGATAATATTGTGAAGAAGGAAAAAAACTTTGCAGGACTTAATTTTTTTATTAATGAAAATTTAAAAAAATCTGCATATGATTTGTATTCGGTCTCCTATATATTTGAAACTGACAAGAACAGTCAATCCCATATGCAACTATGGTGCTTTTATCTGACTGGAATACTTTTCCAATATAGTGGTGCTGATCAATTTTAGCAGGAACCACAATGCTAATCAGAGGTTTTGGGAGCATTAAATTAAACTCATGGAAGAAAAAATTTTAAAAGTATTGAGACTGGGTCTGTCCCTTTGCAGGCTGCCAGCGCTACAATCAAATGGATTTAAATATATTTATGAATTATAATAGCTTATTCAACGTCTTTTAGTGGATTTGAAGTGAAGTCTGCTTGTAATTTTCAGCCTTTTGATGTGCAAAGCTAATAGAAACGCACCAAAAGACTTCAAAACATGGATTTAAAAAGTATTTCCATTCAGGAGACAGAATACAAATCCAAATATCTCATTTTTTAGATTTTTGTTTGTGAAATAATTTTAAAACCCAAGCATGAACTTAGTTTCAACTTCACTTTACAGAAAAACTTGAATGCATACTTTTGCAAAGCATTCTACATTTGGTAAAAAAAAAAAAAAAAAAAAAAAAATTTTTCTTTTAGCAGATGCAGAGCCCCCTAGAGGATCCTGGTTCCACATCAGTGATACAAGTGTTCAACCTGTCAGTGAAAGTAAAGTTCAAAGCTGCCAAGCCTACCTCCTCTTCTACGAAAGACTCCTCTAACTTTTTTGTCCATATGTACTCAGGAAAGACTGACCAAACCTGCTGCTTCAAATTAAACTGCACAAGAAATCTCATTCAGGACTTTGAAACTGATTTTGTTTTGAGTTCATTAGTGTAGGTGCTCTGCTGAATATGTGAGTAATTTTACTCATAATTAACATTAAATCAACCAGGAGAGGTGAATGAATATCTATAAAATGTATATCTGTCATTTACAGGGCTGCCAACTTTTCACCTTGGGGTGAGATATTGAAATAGTTTTGACAGGAAACCTGTCAGGGTTACATGAGGATAGGTGCAGCTATAGGTTGGAGGATTTCAGAGAATTTAACTGAAACAAAGTGGCAAAATGTGGAATTTTTATAGCACAGTAAATCTTACTGAGTAACAACTGGTCTGTAGTTATGTGTATCATTTTTCTCACAATATACATTATTTTCTACATTCTTGTGTGTTTTTTTGGGTGAATTGAAGTAAAGCAGAATGGGCCCTACCAACATACTTGCATCTTAAAAATACTTTAAACTAAGAATTTCACAACTTTGCTCATTAATTATTCTCTGCAGTTTAAGTAAATTAAACAACGGGGAACCAATAAGCTATTACTGGATTACTGACACTGATGCAGGAACCAGAGCAATTGAAACCTATGTAAACTACACTGTGTATGAATATTTGGTAATGGGCTAAGGATTAAAAAGCTGCGTTCATTCTGTTATTAGTTTTTCTTACAATTGGCAAAATGGCTAAACAACTCAGACCTTCTAAGAGGCTGTAGATTATATAAAAACTCACCATGACAGGAGACGGCACTTCTCTGGATGTTTCATTTGAAAGATGTGATGGAAATAAAGTTTTTACACATATTCAATGGACCAAATTAAAGATAAATGAATAAGATAAGTAATAATAAAATAAGAACATCCCTGTGGTTTCTTCTCTATGAATAAAAAAAAAAGTTGCAATGGTTCTTTTTCTTTTTGTCGAGCTCCTATGGGTTTGAGAGGCAAACCTGGAAGCTTTAAAAATTAAAATATTTGTGTTGGTTTAATTACTCCTAAATATCAACGGGAGATTATTAAACTAGACTGGGCAATAATTATTTTGCAAAACATGGTCCTTGTGTGTTAGCACTAAGGTGGTATTAAAAACGCGGTCTGGATTTTGATCACCATGGTTTTATCTTATACATAAGTGGAACAGAGTTGTAGAGAAGAGGATTACGGCCACTGGGGGAAAAAAAGTTCAGATTTTTACATTTTATTTCGGTATAATAAGAGGAAAAAAAAGTCAGAATTCTGACAGGTAACAAACATGTTAGCATCAAGCCGTATCTTTTAGAGACTAAACTAGCTCTCTTTGTTTTAATCACCTTTTGCTCTTCCAGTAATGGTATAGCATCACCAGGGACCCCTGGGCATGTAAAAAGTCACCTAATTCCGTAATTTTCTGCCAATGTGTTACTGGCCCTCCCAAACAACTAACATCTTTGTCAGTGAAGCAGAGTTCTCCCGCATCTCTTCCTTCATGGTACCCATCTACATTAAGATCCAAAATTCTGTCAGAATTCTAAGAAAAAATGTCAGCATTCTGAGATTAAAGTCAAAATTGTGAGAAAAAAACTGACTTTAATCTCAAAATGCTGAGATGAAAAAAGTCAGAACTCTGACTTTTTTTTCCTCATATACTGATAAAACATTTAAAAATCTGTTAACTTTTTTTTCAGTGGCCCTAATTCTCTTCCTTAGAGATGAGTTTTAATGTCTGTAATTTTTTTGTGTGAGAAATTGGTAATATGGAATGAGAGTGTGTGAAGACACCGAGATGGGTGAGTCTCACTACTAATAGGTGAGAGTTGACAGCCCTGCATTTATATTTATGGTTATTTCAATTAACAACTGGAAACCTGCTATTTAACGTTTCTGTCACTGCGCATGCGCAGAAAGGGGTGTTTGGTTTTCCTGGTTTTAAAGTCACATGACAAGAGGAAAGTCCAGCTTCGGTCGGCCACAACCATCCCAAATTTATTAATGTCACTTTGAGACATCGAACATGGCAGGTCAGTGAATGGTTAACCATTTCCTAATAAACATCTTAGTGGGATTTTATTGACGCAAGGCCGTTTATGTGGAGTCTAATAGAAAATTTGTCTACTTGACAGCAGTTAAAGCTAACGGTCTAGCTTATGATAGGAAAAAGCTCTTTATTTTTGGTAACATTTATGACACTTTGAAATCTCTAGGAATGCATTTGTGATTAAAAAGCACGACGGAGTTTGACAGGTATTAAATATTTAGCACTTCCCGCTGTTATTCCTACTTTAGCCAACTTACCGAAACATGAGTCAGCGTTTTTCTTTTCACTCGTTGAACTTGTTTTAAGCTGAAATGTTCAACTTTAATCCATCCTTTCCGCTAATAAACCGAAATATTATCCCCAAGGCCTAACCCTAGGAAAGGTAATACATTTGCTGTTTAAAAGACGTAATTGTGTAATAAGCTTTTTACATCATTAAAGCTTATTTTCTTTATTTTGCACTGTATGTTGTTTCTGTTGATCGTTAGGCAGCAGTTGTAAAACCGTTAATATTTTTGACTTTCTCAGATATTTAACTTTATTCAATCTATTATGATGAAACTGAAAGCTGTCGTTGATAGATTAATCTCGATCCTTCAGTTGCATAACATGAAATTATGTAGAAAAATAAAGAAATCTAAAAATGTAATTCAAATAAAATACCTTCAAATAATGTGTACATTATTATTTTAATATGTTTTCTATGATAATGGGCCCAGTATAAAAATGTTGAATAAATAACAATATAACACAATGAGATTTCAGCTTTTTAGCTGATAGCTCTTGAATTGCACTTTTTTTGTTTTTTTAGAATAAGTAAATCTCATATTTTTTTAGGGATAGTTATCTCAATTTGTACTCCAATTTCACCTCCTTCCATAAAAATAAACATTTCCTGACATTTGATGAAATAAGTATCTTAAGTATTATATTAGAATCTATTATATGTAATAAGATAAATAGCCATATAAATTAGGAAAAGTGCACTCTTCTTACTTAAAAAGCTCAGTGTGGAGAAGTATTTGCAAAGTAAAAGAAAGAACAATCATTTAATGATAATACCAGATATTTACAAAAGATATGTAAAAAATAAAAAAATCAATATTTGACGTTGATCAGAACTAACAATTCATAAATATTAACCTCTACAAAAAAAAATGAAAGCAGAAAATTATTCCTTTAAATTCACAAAGTTCACATTCCCTTTGAAAAACTTTAGATAATGATATTATCCAGATAATGATATAACCCAGATAATGATATTGATGATGTCATGCAAGGTTTTTAATTTGAATGAAGTCCATGTTACTGGTTTGTTGAGGAGAGGGGTTCCATGTCCTCTGCAACATGTCCTGAGAGGACATTATTAAAAATATGTCCTCCTCTGACGAATCCAAAATAAAGAAAAAGAGATTAAACTGTGTGTCCATGGCAACAGCTATATTTGTGAGGAATAGTGGGAAGCTTGTTAGCTTCTGAAAGTGATCCCTTTTGCACGGAGTCTGATGGTGCATGATATTTTATGGGTGTTGTGCTGCAGAAGGGATTAATGCAATTCAGTTGAATTCAGAATACCATAATAACGCTTATGCACATCCAAGTTCCATAAAAAAAAAAGATAGGCAAGCTGAAAATGTGTGTGCAATGTGGCCCTAAGAAATTACAGTTCCATTAAAAGAAGAAAGTTTAAAATAATTATCAAAAACTTTCCCTCAAGATTCTTGAATTTACCAAAAAAAGATTTAGTTAATAATAATTAAACTATGGTAAAGACAATTTATACTAATTTAATGTTAGAAATGTTACATAAAGAGTTAGGTTAAGCTTTTTTTTTATGCATATGTAATTATCAAGTTTTAGTTAAGTTTATAATCCATGTTTCTCTACATTTTTTTCTCCAGTTCTTGCATGTTTTAATAATGCCTCATCGATCACCCCTAATATCTAATAATCCGATTTTACACACAGACAGCTTGTTGTTTATCTTTATACATCTTTATACTGGTCAATTTCACTGTGTGTGAGTTAACAGAACACTGAAAAACTTTTTGACTAGTTTTTAAAAAGCATGACTGGAAATGGCTATTTTTACTCCCTAGGCTGAGCTTCTGAGAACCATGACTCTGCAAGCTCCTCGTACATCAGTATTCACCTTTCAGTCTGCGTTGCACAGTGCCCACGTGCTCCAGTGTCTGAATGAGCAGAGGAAGCAGGATATCTTGTGCGATGTGACGTTGGTGGTGGAGGACAGGAGTTTTCGGGCCCATTGCTCAGTCCTGGCCTCGTGCAGCGAGTACTTTCACAGTAGAGTTACTAGTCTCTCCAGACAGAATCCCATTATCACCTTACCTGAGGAGGTTGGTGCTCCAGCATTCACCTACATTTTGTTTTCTGATAAAGCTTTAAACAATGTTTTGTTAATATTATTACTTTTTTGTTGCAATTTATCATGTTACAACCATATTTTTTCCAACATTTTATTTTTCCTTTTTGTAGGTCAAGACAAAGCTAAGTTAGGTTATAAAAAACATAAAAGAATCTTTTGGTTCAATTAAGTTTATCGATATAACACAAATTCACAACACGGTTCTCTACAGAGATAACTGAATTAGATCTTACAGTCAGATTGGCTCAAAGTTTTATATCTAAGGAAAACCAGCTGATTGAATCGCCTCATTGGTTGAATCTTTATGTAAAAGTGAAAATATTATAGAATAACTGCCTTGAGAAGAATCAAGCTCTGGGGCGGCTGCAAGGATGAGTCAGTTTGTTGACTCATAAAATATTGTTTCTTTTTTTCCTCTTCCAAACCCAGCTTTTATGCAAGAAAAGTAAGAGGAAAGTTGTTATACAGAAAAAGCAATATGTAGTTTGCAGCTTGCAGCAGATATGTGGAAAATAGTATACAGGTCAGACAAAATCACAGTTAAACTATTTAACTTAAATGCAAAGTGCTATGCATGGTGGAAAAATAACGCAGTACGAGAGTGATGCAAACATCCTGTTGGGGAATAGTGCTTTCATCAGCAGGGACAGCAAAACTGGATAGACTAAGATCAGAGGAGCTAGAATGCAAAGCAAAGATCATGCTAAAGTTTTCAAAGCCATGTGCTTAATGGTGCATCTTATGGCCCTCCACCTTCAGAAAAAAAGAAGTTGGTGTTTGTAACGTGATAAAATCTGTTTAAATTCAAGGGGTATAAATATTTTTCCAGGGGAATGGGCTGTCAGTTAAAGTGTGCGTTTTTTGTTTTTTAATGATAACAGTCGAAAAATGCATTTAAAACTGATGTGTTTAAAAAAATGTGATTGAATTTAACTATTTTATTATACTTACAATTGTTACCCTGTGTTTCAAGCTTAGCCAAGTTTCATTTGAACTCTTTATGTCGGAGTAACTCCTGCTTTAACAGATATCCGTTCTCCACAGGTGACCGTCGAAGGGTTTGAACCTCTGCTTCAATTCGCCTACACATCAAAGCTGCTTTTCACCAAAGAAAACATCCATGCTATTCACAGCACTGCTGAGATTTTAGGATTTCACAACTTAGAGACAGCTTGCTTTGATTTCCTCATTCCCAAGTTTTCTGAAAGTAAAAAAAACTCACAGGAGGTCCGGAATAAGAGCTGCTGTCAAAGCTTGAAACCTGGTACTAGTTGCAACTCTAGTGTAGAAGTTAGCCATGCAGAATCATTCGAGTCAGACAGCTCAGTGCCTTCAGGAGGTGATGAGCAAACCTGCTTCCCATCACAGTGCCCTCAGAGCACACAGGCTCAGACAAACAGTGGGGAGGAACCGTTTTGTTTTGAGAACTGTGGACCACAAATGGCTCCCTTAACTTTAGAGTTAGCAGATGGTGTGTGCCCCCTGTTGTCTCTGCCAAGCCCGGGCCCAAACAAAACAGATCATTCCTCTCATTTTTGCAAAAGAGACATTTTACAGATGGGAGATGTAAGTGATGGGAGTGAGCTGAGTGTGGTAGGGTGTGACACAAGCTGTGAGCTGTCAACCCCAGCGGAAGAGAATCCACCAGAAATCATTGAGCCAGCAAGTCCAGATAATGAACCCACTGTTGAGACGCTTGGTGCTGAAACCAGCTTTACCTCAGGCTCATGTTCACTGAACATGTCAAGGGCGGAAGGTTCTAGAGAAGAAACTAGTTCAGTATTACAGCAGAGGGAGGTTTGTACTGAACAGGTAGTTGAACCTGCCTTAACGCCGTTAAGCTGTGAGGTAGGAAACGGAGAGCGGAGCAGTGTGGAGAGGGAAGTGGCTGAACATTTAGCAAAAGGATTTTGGCCAGACCTGTGCCCAAGTCAGGCTCCACCTCCATCCCTCGATTCAGTGAGCCAAAACAATTTGGCCAAGGCCTCCGACTTTCACTGGCTCAAGCACCTGGATCTGACATCCAGCGTAGGGGACTGTCCCTTTCTACGGGACCTCGATACAGACGATGATCCGGGAGCGCAAGCTGACAACTTTTCCCAAGCAGAGAAGAGTCCCTGCATGTCCTCCTCACTCAATTCCGGGGATGAAACAGAGCTGGAAACAGATGGCGACGCAGAGGCCAATCAGAAAAGAGCAGCAGAGGTCATCGTCAAAGACAGGCAATTGTATTATCTTAGTTTAAATATATAGGATGGAATTAATCCAACATCTAACCCTCTTTTTTTATAGATTCAACTCCCATTTCCAGTGGAGAAAATTTCTGAACTGAGCAGAAGCGCTTTCCAACAGCTCGTTAAAAAACATCCCCTGACAAAAGAACAACTTGAGTTTGTGCATGACGTCCGCCGGCGAAGTAAAAACCGTGTGGCTGCACAGCGCTGCCGGAAGAGGAAGCTGGACAGCATACACCAGCTAGAATGTGAAATAAAAAAATTAGTAAGTTCACCTTTACGTGCTCATAAATCTTATAATGTCGAATCAGTTCCTGATTTTTAGTACTCAATAGGTTATAAGCAGTTTTATTAGCCATTGTAGACAAACCTCTTTGCATCTCATTTGTTGTTTAGATCCTGCCAAGGCAAATTTCTACTACTATCAACTACAGCTTTAAAACCTCTACAGGGGTTTATTCAAAACCTTTTTTAACCTTTAAACCGTTGCCACATATGCATTGAGTAGGTATTTACACAGAGCCTATCATTATGTAGAAAATGGAGGTGGTAGGCCGCACACCAGCAGTACCCTTCCTGTAAGAAACATTTATTTCTTCCTGTATAAGAAATACACAATCTACTTAATACATGTAAAGTAGTACTAGCCATGTTATCCCTTTGAGGTTTAAGTAAAATGTGTAAAGAGCTAATAGTTTAGCTACAAGTATCTCAGTCTCTTTCAGACAGAAAAATCAGTGGCGCTTTGTTACTTTCTACCTCAATTTCCTGTGTAAATAAGCATTTGCCCCCATGTTTAAAACAAACCCACCTTATTCAAACAAGGCAACTGTGTAAAGATTCATAAAATAAAAAAAGTCACATTAACTGCTTTGCTCTTGTACTGGAGTTCTCTTAAGGCAATAGAAGACTGGTTTGAACACACCAGTTAGTTTAGCCTATTAAACAGATATTATCTTCTTGAGGCCTTTTTAAACTTGGTTCCTCCACATAGGCCAGGTTATTATTGTAAAAGGAAAACTGACCATTAATTGTGACCAATAACTTTGTTACTTTTCCCTTCACAGAAAAGTGAAAAAGAGAAGCTGCTTCTGGAGCAAAAAGATCTGCAGAAGAACCTCGCTGAGATTAAACAGAACGTGTGTGGCCTCTGTAAAAGTGTTAACATCGAGTCGGGCTCAGATCAGGACCACATGCAACTCCTCGCTAACCTCTCTTCAGTCTCTTCAGACTTTCCCATCTCGTCTTCCAGTCTCGTAGAACGAAATGAGGAATCGGAGCTCACTGTGGAAATGGTGAGTTCCTCATTAGAGTGGGGACAGACAGGGCCACCTTTAGTCCCCGTTCAATCTACGGAGCTGCAGTCGTGTACCGAGGAGACGGACCGTCCTGTCGCTAATCCTTTACTCAGCGTATGTCTGGACATGTCCGACAGCTTGTAATTAGGCTGAAATCTTAGTATTTTTCTAAAATCTACAGAAACAGACAGCAAACGGTTAACCATCATTTATACTGCAGTCCTTTTTTAAAAGACTTCCCTTTTATTTCACTGACTCATGTCCTTTTTTAAAGAGGTAACTAAAGTTAAAAATCAACCATTTATTTCCCTGTGAATCTCATCAGTATTTCTCCAAATTAAACACAGACTGCAGTATTTCTGAGCATGATGATGCAAGGAGCTTCTTTGGAAACTGAAAATGTGCTGTTCCTAAATTAGAACTTTATGATGCTTCCTTAACTGAGGTTCGTTTTTCTCAGGGAAAAGAATAACCTGAATGTATTTTAAATCCCACTTCACACCCACATTCCACATAAAATGATAATTTGTTGCTATTAATGATAGACATGTTTTTCTTACTTCAAATTGAATTTGCACAAAGTGAGGTTTTCGGTTGATTCTAAGTAGGTTTTACTGCTAATTAACCCTTCAGAAGCATTTTGGGATGCCCCTATGTATTGTTTGAATGGTTTGTTTCAGCTTCTTTTAAATTTCAAGCAATGGTTCTATAAAATCTGATCGTCTGGAATAATAAATTATACAGTTATGTTATTTGTATTGAAATGTGCCTTATAATTAATTGTGCTATCAATTTAACAAGATTATGCTGTTAAATGATACAATTTTTATTGACTTATGCACTGTTGCACATTAACCCATACTTATACCGATGGCATTATCTTTCAAATGTCTTTCTGCATGTTGAGCATTGTTTTTATAAAATGGTTTTATGAATTACAAATTAAAATAAACATTTTGGATATGATTATTTATTTTATTCTAACTCACGACCATGTATTGGTGAGGGGTTATTTTATTAGTTTCATTAGATGCATTTGCAAACATTGACCAGTAGATGGAAGTGTTGCTCTGCCCCAAAAGCTATATCACTCTCATCAAAAAGGAAGATATTTTCCTCATAAGTTCAATTTCTTTTTAATTCTTCTTTTAAATGAGCATTATTAACCTTATATTGCAAACACATTTAAAATGCAGTGATTGTACGGAAATGAAAATCTCAAGTAGCAAAGGTTTGAGGGCTTAAAACCTAAAAAAAAACAACTAGTAAAATGAAGGACCATGTATTGGTAAATTTCCAGTCATTAAACCTTGGTTGCAAACTATTTGTTAAAAAAAATATATATAATAGCTCTTGCCTGTCATTTACCAGTTCTTAAATTATCTCTAAAAGAATATCCAGGCATTAGGGACATATATATGTAACTGTAGAAAGAGTCAAATCAGCCTAATGATAACTTGAATGGTTAAACAGCTTGGATAATTGTGCAATATATCTGCACACACCACCTATACTAAATACTTTCCTCCCTGAGATGGTTTTGGATTTTAAAACTGAAATAAAAGTAGAAAAAAACAACTACCTCTTATACAGGCACTCTCGCTAAAATAATTTGTAAAGAGCAAAATAAAATCTTTGCACGGGTGTTTTTAACTTTCAAATTGCACAACTATCAATATGTTTTTTTAGGCTAAAGCTTTGGATATGGCATAAAGACTCTTGAAACTGCCTTAATGCAGGATCCTCTCCATGAGTAAGAAAAATGCAGTTAAAAATTATGTTTGCAAAATATAACCAAACTCTTAATATATAAAAAAAATAAAAAATAAAAATAACTTCAAAAATCCATAATATCAGCAATCTTTTGTAAAGAAGTGGAGTTTTTTTTCCATATCAGTCAAAGTTAGAGCAAATTCAGATCAAAGCGCACAGGAATGTTTTAAACAACCAGGTTTTAAGTGAATTCCCCTGCCTCCAATCTGGTTATTCTTTTTAAGTCCTGCTGTGTCACATGGTTTGAGTTGAGTTACTAAAAAAAAAAAAAAATAAATTCATCTTTCTATAATGTTATTATGGATGGACAGACGGGCAGATAGATTCATCCAAGTGGCTGAAATGAGACCTGTTGACTGTGTAAGCCATGGAGGTACAATGTACTGATTGTCATGTTCAAGTAACCATAAACAAATTTTTTTATTCAATTGCCTGTTCTCAAAGTTACATTACCCAAAAAAAAAAAAAATAAATAATAGAAAATTCTAACTATAGATACCTAAATTCACTAAATTCTTCTGATAGGATTAGTTGGTTTGCTTTGGAGCTGAACAGGTGTATCTAATATTCTTTTTCTCATCACCATCCACCCACCTCCTTATTTACTTGAATAATTTTTGTAGCAGTAATTAATGTTTTATAGGTGTTATTGTTAAACGTGGAGTATATTCACTCATAAGAGTGTTTTCTTAACAGAATTTTAGATTTTATAATGAAATATTGTAAATTAATCCCAGACTGATTGCATTTTGTATTTTTATTTTTGATGATCTAATTTTATATTTTTTAGCAGTTGAAAAGTATCCACAATAACTTGATAGTAAAATGTTTTGTGCTTTATTTGCAAGTTCAATTCAATATTATATTAGAATCAGTAATCAAAAATGATGATTGTCCTTATAAAAAATAGACATCTCTACCTCTACCACAAACATTGTGGATTAGATGTATTTGTAAAATTTCCTTCTAAAGAAAAAGGATTTGAATGAAGGGTGTTTCAGTGTTTTTCTACTGTATACAATTTAGATCTTGAAGCATTGTAGTGCAAAAGTAAGATTATCCTGTTTTTCAAACTAAACGGGACGAGAGACTTGATTTGAGGCAGAAGCAGCTGTGCGGCATGGCAAGGTCAGAGGCCCGTAATCCGCGGCCTCATTCATGCAAGATTAAAAACCTGCTCTGAGTTCTGATTAAGAACGCAGGGTTAGAAGATTAAAGACCAGCAAACAAAATGAAAGCACTTAAAGCCCAATCCTGGAATTCATCAGAATAGCAGAACCTTAAACAGTCATATCGTGAGATTAATGCAAAGCCTGCTGTATCTGTCTTGATGAATCTTCTGTGTCAAAGCCTATAAATTCCCATTTTACCCTAAAATCTATAAGATCTGTCTCTTTGCCAGCATTGTTTGCTTTTTTCCCCTTCTTCCTTCACATCATTTAAATTATTCCCAAATTATTGTTATCGTTTGACCTGAATTGTAAATCGAGAATTTTAATTTTTTTGCATAATACATTTTCCTTAAAATTGACTACTTAACTACTTATTTCTTAGTTATATCTTTGATTTAGTTACTTCTTATTTTAACCCTGGTTTAAAGTCCATGATGTAGAATAAGGAAATAAAATATATGTCAAAGATAATAAAGAGATATTTAAAAGGTTATAACAATAGTCACCTTATAATGTCACACTGTTGAAATGGGCTTACAAAAGATTTTCGTGATGCTGCAGTTAACAATATACCGGTATACTGAAATGTTTAAAGTGTAAAAATAGATAACGCTTAAAGGTCCCGTTTTGGTCATATTTCCAGTTTGACTTTGAGGCAAAATGAAAATATCAGAGTTTAAAACAGAGTTGCACTGTTGGATGATACTAAATCAAATTAAATTGTAGGATATTTTGGATTTCACATCAGTGAAGTATAGGTTGCTGTCAGATATGGTTCTGATTTTAGAATTTCTATGAATTTTTCTTTTATTTATGAACTCAGGATTTTATTGTCTGTTTTTTTTTTTTTTACAATTAGGTTTCAAAGAAGTTTTTTCTTTCATACCAATTTTGCCTTTTAGATATACCAAAGAGGCATAACTTTTTATGTATGAAATGTGAGAATGACCCTTACATCTTGCTGCACACAGCTGTTCGGGATTTCAAAATAAATCTACTGAACACTTACATTATTCACAACCAAAACACAGCTGTGAAAAGACTTATCTTGAATTATTGTGCTTCTCTGATGTTGTCAGAGAACCACACTTGTTTTCAAATTGCAGCAAAAGATATATTTTCAAATATTCAGGTGCCATAGTACTGTGCAAACAGAACAAAAACAAATGGTTGGGTTGTCGTTGCTTATTTAACACTTTTAAACAAAGATCTCTGTGTATCAAACCCTAATAAGAGATTCATTTTAGTTTTTCAGTATAGCGTGTTTAGCTTATTTACAGCTTCTGTAATAAATGATTTTCATTATTTTTGTCATAGAAATAGGAAATAATCTGTAATGATTGTTGGATGATTCATTAAGCGGTACCATCTATCTTTTTGCAATTGTTTGCATCACATTTGCTTTATTTCTGCACAGAATTCCTGTGCCAGTTTTCACTAAATAAACCTGAAACCGTTAGCATGCACTTTACAAATAAGACACGTGATCTTTTTTACTCACCCTACAGCAGTCAATAGATATATGTTTATATTGAATGTGTGTGTATTAACCAAAGTACAATGCCAAAAGTTCTGCTGGAGTTGCTAGTTGAAGAGAGGATCATGATCCACAGTGAAAAGAAGCAACTCAGAGAGAAATAAACCTTTGATCTAAAGTTTTGCAAATGACATACGGGACAAAGATCATAATTTTTGTCGACATGTCCTCATGGCCATTAGGAAATGCTTCTACATCTAATAAATGTCAGTCGCTCAGGCATGTATTTTTTTTACGCAGTTATGCTAGTTTAATGATAAAGTTAGAGCAACATGTAGATGTTTGCCCAATCAAATAACCAAACTTATTACCCAGATAGTATTGTTATCGTTACTGAGTGAAGACCAAGATTGTGCTAATACACATTTAGCAAAATAAGGTAAATACTTTAAGTATTTCCACATGTTTATATTAGTACCAAAATCTTTATCTAGGCAGTTAAGAAAAACAACAACAAAATAAATTGTATATATAATATGTTTGTTTAACGTTTAATGTCATTCTGGACATTTATGTAATGAAAGCGTAATAAAAAGGAGAGATTTATATCAACTTTTTTTTTTTTTCCCAGCATGGGTCAAAATACCACACAGTCACACAATACTTCAATCAGTCCTAGTTTAAGATCCATGACCTCCTCGCACAATCTTAAGCTGCTGAACAACTGCATGCTCAATGATTACATACAGAAGTAGCTGTGAACTTTAGTTTAGGGTAGTGCAGTGCCCCATTGACAAGATTATATAAATGAGGTCCATAATACTGTAATCTCTAAGAGAAATGAGAGAACGCAGGGGACATGTTGACCCCTGTTAGTTAGAACCCTGATATGCAACAGTCAGACTAACAGCTGCTTGAGGAATGAAAAATGGACACGCTTGTTGGTGTTTAGACTCAACAATCAACCCTGTGTTACACTGCAAACACATTTGACTAGTTAAACATTTGGAAGAAGGGAAATAATTTGAATTGTGCCAGTTTCAAAAGCTTTTGGAAATGCAACATAATAAGCTTAAAGTTAATAAGCAATATTTTTTTTGCTTTTTTAAATTTTATTTAGTTATAAGATTAGGGAGTTAGATTATTGTTGTTTTCAATTATTCGGCTTTTCCCTTTAATTCCTTTATTAATTTTGTGTAACAGTAGTCTTCTTTTAATCCTAATGTTCTAAGATCTCCCAATAGTTTTTACTTTGAATGTATTGATGATAAACATCCTTGTTTAACCCTTTTTCAAAAGCCTGGAATTGAATCTTGGTTCAACGCGTTTCCTCTTTGACTCAAGGTCATCAATCGTAGTAAAGGAATTTTTTTCAAGCCAGTATAAAATCAAAAGCTTGCCATGTATGCTAAATTCTGTCAATATATTAGAAGTAACCATGAATGACCTAACTAAACTGACTTGATTGAAGAAAATGTTTAATCAGATCAAATATAAGAAGGAGAGAAAAAAAGGTTATATCTTATTATAAATTGTACATAAGCATCAGGTTTCTACAGTACCACAAATGCAAACACACAGCAGATGCTAGCAGTTTGCCTGTAGTTCTACATTTGGTTGCAGTTGTCCTCTTCTAAACTTTATTCAATTTATTTATTAAAGTGATAAACCTCACAACCCCACGTCTGTCGTTTGTCCAATGTTTGTATTTTTAAAATTGTAAAACAAAAATTCTTGATGTAGACAACTTATTTAATAACTGATTTTTTTTTTTTTTTTCAAAATTCCAAGCAGACTTCTCAGGAAACAGGACTGATTCACCCTTTCGCTGACATTATTAAATTGTTCTTGTTAAAATGAAAACCACAGAGCGATGCCTTTTGCCCTTTTTCTTCCGTCTAAAATCACCACCAACCTTCAGCAGTCTATATTTTTTCACAGCACTCTGTGTAGCTGCTATTTTCTGTTGCTTTTTTATGTCAAGCAGTTTATCCTATCTGTAATTTAACTAAATATGCAAACATTTTCAAAACCGTGCATGGATCACTTTTAGAGAGATACTATTTATTTTAAAAGTAGAGCAGTCCTCGTCTCTGCATCATGTTTCATCAGAGGTGTCAAAGTGTATGTTTATAACTCAAATAAAAGTATAAATCCTACTATTTAAATCAAATTTATAGAAGTTAGAGTGTCAAAATAAATAACTATTTATTTTGGTATGTAGGGACAAATTGGTGCAGCACTGAGTCCAACCAAAAAGAAATGAATGGTTTGGATGAAGAAAAATATTTGGATGTGTTTTATTTCTTCTTAAATACAAACAGCCCTTGATGAAAATTAGCCTAAATATAACAAAACTAACAAGTCTATTTTTAAAATGTAAGGAGTAGAAGAAAAAAAGTTGTCTAAAAAATAATTATTCCAGTAAATTATAGATAGCCAAAATTTCTGCTTAAGTAAGGTTACAAAGCATTTATACTTTGTTACCTGACTCCTCTGTGTTTCAGAAATATGACCTGAAGACTCATCAGAATCAGATCAGAATCAGAATTAATTTATTTATCCCTTGTGGGAAATTCTTTTTTAGGGGAGCGTCTGCAACAGGCTGGACACGAGTTGACGCATGCACGCAGAAAAGAGTTGCTATGTTTGCCGCCTGTAAATGCTTATGCAAATTTGCCTACTTTTCTCTGTCTGATTTGAAGCAAAAATGATATTACTGCATTTGCAGATATTTCCATTCCTATTCCTATGGGCTTCTAATCCATAATCTTAGTAGTAACTAATCATTCATGTGGTTTTAAAGAAGATATAATTGAAATAGCTTTGCAAGCAACTTGTGAAAATAGGGTGCTAACCACATCTGTGTTCCCAGTGGTGAAGGTTAATATCCAAAACATACATACCCTATTGCATAAATATTTCATACTCATTAGAAAATAATTGGCTGAGCTAACAGAGCTTAAGTAAAAAAAGGTGAACATTAAAAAGGTGCAATGTTTTCACACAACTTTAGTCATTCCAACACAATTTCAACATTACAAATTTTAAGCTTGTTCATAAACTTTGCTTTAGACAAGAAAAATAAGATACGTAAATCAACTTCATGAACATTTTCAACAACAAAAAAAAATCATTCATAAACAGTTTGAACAGTCATTAAATGAAAGTTTCTGTGCAATGCTCTGCTGAAAAAGAGGACTGAAATAATATCACGCCTCTACAATTACCCAAAATGTGACAGCATTACAGTAATGCCCCTTATATGCAAAACAATTTTACATCGCATTCCAGAAAATATGGCAAGGCCCAAAAAAAATCAAGTATCAAGATTGAGATCAATTGTTATCAGAAAAAAAAGGGATTCTAATGTAATATTTGAATTAAGACTAACATCAGTGTGTTCTCTACAATAAAAACTACTAACACAATACTTTGTGTTGAAAACATATTAATTGATTGTAGCAATGCGGTTTTTAGGTATAGGTTTAATCAGACTGGATTATTTTATTGGCTCTCTGATTACTGTAGTCCTGTGAAGAATATGATAACATAAAGTTTTATTAGGTTCCAGGAAGTCTTTGACTGTCTCATAACATGTTAATACTTGTTGTGCCATTCACACTGGCCCACACTTACTTCCTCAATGTCCAAGTTTTTTCTGGATTTGTAAATAAATTCTCCAATCGCCACAAAAACTGAGAGAACAAGTCCTGCAGCCAACACTATAAAGATTCCTCCTATGTTCTCTACACCCAGAGCACTGGCCTCTTTGCTGTCCTCCTCGGGACATCCGTTCCCTCTCCACCATTTCTCTTTCATCATATGCAGCTTTCCTTCTTCTTGAAGCTGCAGGATGGCAATGGTGACCTTGTCTCTGTACGGGGAGCCTGGAGAAAAACAGAGCAGAATTATACCGAATAATGCTTTACAAAATATTTGTGGACAAAAACGCATTTATGGGGCCCTTTACAATTCGTGAACTTTTTTTGCATTTTTGCATGTTCAAAACCCAACTTTGTTTATGTAATAAACCCACAAAACACTCTGCACAGAACCTTGTCTTAAAAGCTGATTCCTATTGGTAGATTGCACTCAAAGGAAAATGAGGAATGGTCTCAATATGTATATTAGAAAAGCTAATGAAATATTTTGTAGAGCTAGCCTTTGCTTGATTAAAATTCCCCTGCTGAATAAAAGCATCCACACAAACTAATGCTGCCCTCATGGTGCTGGAACGTGGTTGTTGTGACCATGGGATTTTATTTGGGCCTTTTGAGGTCACTTTTTAGATTTTTCTATGTAAACAACTCTTTACAATGTCTGCTTTTTTACTTCGAAATAATGCAAAATTATAACATCCGAATATAATTCTTTGAATATTATGATGATTTGACAAAACTATAAAAAGAAAAGCAAATGTTAAAGTCATAGCATCATGTCAGTATTTTTTTTTCTCTCATAGGAGCTATTCTACGATCTTACCAATTGGAGTGCCCACGCCATAGCCCTTAGAATCTATCAAGCCTCCAATCTGTGTAAGGTTGCAGTTGCGCTGGCTGATATATTCGATGCTGGTAGACTCCATGAGAAGAGCGTAGTCAGTGGTGAGGACCCGCTGAATCCCCTCCCGGTTGTTTTTCACCAAAGCTGTGTTTTTTCGGCTGCTCATAAATGCCCACATTTTCTCATAGGTTGAAATCTTTGATTTCTGTTAAACCAAAAGGAAAAACCAGTCATGCACAGGTGAGCAACCATTTTATATTCCTTTTTTATGATGATGAGATGCTGAACTTTGCTTTCAGCAATAAACAACTCAGCCTTGTACTGTAGACACATCTATCACAACAGGTTTAAGCAAGCAAAACAAGATTACCTTGAAAAAGGTCATGGTAGACCCATCTCTTACAGCACCGTACTCTATCTTGGTTTGCTTGGCCAAATCATCTGCTGAGTCAATCGGGGAATCCATTCTCTCCACAGTAAGAAAAGCAGCCAGATTGGCAGTGTATGAGGAAATTATGATCAGTGTAAAGAACCACCATATTCCTCCTACTATCCTCGTTGAAAGGGCCTTTGGCATCAATTCGGACCCTGTAAGGTATTGAGATATATTAGAACATTCATTCCAAAGTAGAATTATGATAATATCTGTTTTCCTGATCTGTAAATAAAAACATTAGGGTTCCCCAAACTCTTTGGCACACCTTGTAAACATCAATAGAAAGCCTTGTGAAATTTAAACAAAGGTACAGAAACAGGACAAATTTAGATTAACCAATTAATCTGATATATATATTTCTGGACGTTAGTAAGAAGCCAGAGTACCCAGAGTTACCCTCCCCTGGGAAACATGTGCACTCTATGCAGAAAGAATCCAACTGTCCCAGAAAGTGCCTTATAATGCCCCCACTACGCAACCAACTACTGTACTCTCATAACAGATTCGATTATTTAAGGAATTTTTAACATAAACATTTTAAAAGTAGTTGTAGCATACCTTGCTGCATAAGTGCTCCAACTCCAAACCAGACACTGTTGATTAGAGTAAAGTTGTTTTCAACCACATCCGAGTCTGGATTACAGGGATGAGGATTATACCATTCATACGGAGTGAACCTGAAGGTTGTGATTGAAAACAGAATTTAATATCACCAAGGACATTTAGATTTTATTTTATTTTTATTTTCAATCCTCCGTTTGTTTAATGCATTGCTATGTCACAAGATAATATTGATTTTTTTAAGTTAGTTAACATTTACCAGCTATTAATAAATTACCAATAGTTTCTTTTCAGTCCTGTATGAGATTACCTGGCAATGACAAACAGCACACAGCTGACTCCAAGGCATGCCAGCAATACATACATCCAGATATCAGGAGACAGTGGGTTCAGAAAGGAAAACACTCCTGGATTTGTGCCGTTAGGTTTGTGGTATAGGATGCTAATTCCTAAGGTCATGAAGGGCTTGGAGAAGTCTATCACCTTTTCCCTGACGTACGTGATGGTAAGAGGGGCTACAGCAAGGTCAGCCACCTGAGATCAAATGAAAACCTCACATTCAGCTTATGTCAAAGACTTGTTTTTTTATTTCTGTAGGAAAAGGGAATCACAGAGGAATACTCACGTGATCGATAAGTTCTCGAACCATGCCGTTCCACTCCCCCTTGTCATTCTGTGCTCCGTATTTTCCGTCTGAAACCAGTTTTACTTCATAGGAGAAGCCCAAAATGTTGGAGAGCTCTTTGAGGAGGTCAAGGCAATAACCCTCAAAGCGGTCATTCCCATATAGAGGCTTGTCTGATTTTTTATACATGACATAAGGGTTTTCCTGGTAAAGAACGTAAGTTGCACTAATTTACTTTGAAATTTCCAAATGCTTACAGCTTATCAGTGTTTTCCTTTTCCTACCAGAATAGTAGTGACAATGAGGGTCCTGTTGGCCATTGAATCTGTGACATTTGTAGAAGAGTCCTTGCTGGTTTCTGTTAAATTAAGGCCCATCTGGGAGTTCCAGACACCAATCTATATGAAAGATGAAACGAAAAATAAAACATTAAATATCCACAGCAAGTGTGTAGATCTATGACTAAATCGACATTCAGGGAAAACAAAGCAGAAGGGAGCAGAAACAGATACAATCCTAGTCAGAACTTCAAACACATATCTTCATTATGCATTTTAATTTGGGGTAATTCATACTTAATATAACTGTTTTCATTTTTGAAGGAATTGTCAAAAAATATAAAACTCTGATGTTTTGAAACCCACTGTTTGTTAATAGGGATTTTATTAAAAGCATATGGTCAAAATTGTCCTTTGCTGCAGAAAAACAAACAGTGGACTGTTAAGACTTCCTGACTTATAACCCATTGGAAATTTGTGGACAATTCTTAAAAACTGGATCCATGGCAGGAAACCATGAACTGAATGAAAATAAATATATGAAACAATAGAAGTACGCCAGAAAATGTTTGATTTTTACTAAAAGCAAATGTGTTAGATGCAGTGAGTCAGCAAATATCTGGTCCTGTTTGCATCATGAATAATAACTACATTCAACACTTTTACTGTACTAAATACTTGTATTTTTAAAATCATTACAGCTTTTTGTTAATAAAAAAATAGCCCACCCTTAAAAGGTGACAGTTCAAATTACCATTGTTAATTTGACATCCAGTCAAATGAAGAATGATTGTAAAATTCTGACCAGGACTGGCGTTGATAGCAATAAAGAGATAACACCAGGAGGAGAAGGAAAGTTTGGAGATTATAATACAAACTGAAAGATATAGGTAAGGAAACAGAACACTGCAGCTAAAAATGATGCCGCCAGTGCAGAAATGGTCAACATTTCTTCCCAGCAGTTCCTAAACCTTTATAATGAAAGAGAGAAAACATCACAGAAAGCGATAGGGTAAGCTCTACATATCATTAATAATTGAATCTGCCTTGGCAGCTAAAATACAGACCTTTTTCCACACTTTATTTAGGCGGCTGCCCGTCATTGACTTGCAAAAACAATAAAGAGAAAATCATTTAATTACAGAGCCCTTAACTTCAGACAAAAACAAGAATGAATGGAGGGAAACTATCTTCCCCTGATAAATCTTTTATTTAGTTACATTTTATTTTTCACTTTTAATTATTTATACTTCCCTTGAAGTCTGTTGGTGTGATAATCGCAGCGTGGACAATAAACTCTAAATTGCCCTTTAGGTCAAATGAAGGGTTGGCAGTCAGATAAGTCTACGTATTTACAGTATTGTGTGAAAAATATTTTATAAATTTCTTAATTTGAATTGTAAGCTATCATTAATGTTTTCATTAAAACTTTACTGACGACTCAGTTAGACTAATTTACCACAAAAGCTTCATGTCAGTTTTTGCTGCCAGGGGTGGCACAGCCAGTTACTAATTGTAAGAGTTTAATTCATTTTCCCATTACGGCAGATTGGTTTAGAAAGTAATTTGCCATTATAAATAGAAATTGCTTTTCAAAGGTAACTGATGTTATCTTTGTCTGCAATTAAAATGTGTTTGATGATTTAAAAAAATTCCTTTTGACATACAAAATCAATGAATTTTATCTGGAACCCAACAGATATTTTCTGATAGTATATATCGTGCTTTCTCTTTCAGAAAATGTTAGTTACAGCAGTTGGCCTGTAGCTTCATGCAGTTAAGTTAATGTCAACTCTTTTCCAAACTCTTTTCTGCAGTGTAGATATAGGTCAGAGAGTTCACCTTCTCCAAACCATCCTCCTTTAGGCTGATCACATCCAAATCAAATTCTTTGCGCAGGCCATCTGTCTTGTTGATGGCAATTTGTCCCGTCAAACCGTCCCATTGTGTCTGTGGACAAAGAGAGGACAAAAAATCTAAATGGTTTAACAGTTGGTTTTTTTTGTTGTTGTTTTTTTTTTTTTTTTTTCATTTTTTAGTCTATAACTATTGCGATAGGAAAAAAGCATGAATTCAAGTGTTTTAATAGCGTGGGCAGCACTGCTAAGAGATGATAAAGATATATTTGTCTGTACTAAAAGGAGATGGGGTCAGTTTCGTTTGTCCATATGGCATTTCTGCATATTATAAAAAGAGTCTAATAGGTCAAATGTACCCATGTAAATTATATCAGAAAGCCTTCTTTTGACACGTTTCGGCCTGTTTTTGGATATAAAAGATCAGACGATGTTCAGCCAAAATTCAAAAGCTAAACATATCCATTCACTTCCAGGAAATATCTGCAATACAATCTCAGAAATTTATTTTAGTGAAGCTGCTCTGTAGCCTTCTTCATTTTCTCCCATATCTACTTCTGTAATTAAGCTTTATATTATATCCTGCACAATCAGACATTTGTCTTAACCAGATTATTGTACGTGCTGTGCTGATAGAGACATACACAAGCTCCGAAACAGAATTAAACGTGGAGCATTTAGTTTTTAAACTATTCAGCTTTGGAATAAACTCTCTAAACACATGAGCTGTGCATAAACTGATAAATATTCCTGTTTTCTGCATGTTTCTCAAGAAGGCCTAAGCTGATCTTATCCATTCATCTTATCCAAGCATGTCTTAGCTATGCAGTTTTTTTTTCTTTTTTAGAGACTAGATTTTTTTTTCTTGTTGCTACAAATAGTTATTGTTTCATTAAAAATTAGAGAAACCCGATAAAAAGAAATACATGTATTCTTTGGGATGCACTTTATATCAGCATTAAAATCATGATGGATGGATGGACGGAATTAACTCACGTCTTTGAGCAGGTTCATGAAGCGTGATCCGAAGCGCCAAGGTTTGTGTCTGTGGCACTGCAAAGAGCTGACGGTGAGCTGCGAGGTGCGTTGTGAGGCAGCAGCCACCATGTAAACTGCATCATACATCAGAGCTGCCTCGGTCTGGAAGAGAGACATGGCCAACACCATAATCCATCCCCGAGATCACAAATCGCATGTTGTGCACTTATCACATCAGGATTGTTGATATATTTGCAGAGCCTCATGTGGTTCTTCAAATCAAATGTAATCACACACAAAAAACACAATCACTCAGTGAGCACAGCTTGGTGAGCAATGCTTAGACAGAAAGAGTCATCAGAGACCTCCACACTGCTGCCTCCACTGCAGTAAATGCATAAAATTAAGTTATGCTTAATCAAAAGTCATTTTTCCCTAAAACATTATTTATTTTAGCTACAGATAATATCCTTCTTGCATTTGCCAAAACTGACTTTTTCTTTATTTGAAAAAATAACTTTAAACTGTTTTGAAAACAACATAGGGACCACTTTTCCTCATCCTGCATCATTCGATCTCTATTCTCCCATTCTGCAAAATTTAGAGTTTAATCACTAACATTATGCTCTCTCTGCTTTTTCTCATAGTAGCCTCATCTGGCTTTTTCCTGTTTGGCTGTGACACCATCCCGGAGAGAAATATCAGCAGTCCTGCTACCATCATCACCTTTGTTTATAGATGTTGGAACTTAGCCTGTTTTTCAGTGTAGTCCTGTTTCTCTGACTGTGACTAACTGTAGGTGCTCATTTCATCCTCTGACATGGGAGCTGGCTCTGAGCTCATCTACCCCTCTGTGTGTTTCCTGGATGGGGCCGCCTGTGTTGGTGGTTTACAGTTGCCTTTTGTATCTGTTTCTTTCTGTATGTCTGCTTCTGTCTCCTTGAACCCCAGTCGGCCTCTGTAAATGGCCGTTCTGAGCCTGCCTTGCTGGAGGTTTCTTCCTGTTGAAAAGGAGTTTTTTTTTCTCTCCACTGTCGCTACAAGCATGCTTGGTGTGAGGGATTCCCTTCAAGTCAATGAGTCGATGCAACCAGCTGGTTTTCCTTAGATAGAAACTTTGAACCAATCTGACTGTGTGATCTGGTTGAATTGTCTCTGTAAAGTGTTCTGAATAGGCGTTATATAAACAAATTGAATGAATTGAATATATGCCTTCTCTTCCATGCCGCAACCCCCCACCCCCAACCCCCAGGCATAATTAACTTCTGGGCCAATGCCCCCTTTGTAAATTAACAGAGAATGCTGCATGTTATTTATGAAATGTTTTTCTGTCTTTGGTACTTATGTTTTGATTGCCATATTTGATTAGCGGATATCGACTAACTTGTTTTCAAAACTTTATTGTATTTACACTCAACAAACTGTTGAACACAACATAACAAAATATATGATTTCAGTGTGAGTGTAGTTGGAGGGCAGGTTGGAGGGCAGGTGTTGATGTTTGTCAGCACTGTACACATGATTGGCCACTGGTAGACAGTTATAGGGCACAAGCAAAAGCTTCATGCCGTCCAGTGTGTAAGAAGCTGCCATAGACTTCAGACAGAATCACTGTTATCTTGTCCTGTCCACTGACCAAACTATGGATACAAACAAATTACACATAACTGTATGTTATTGAAGTTATTTCTGCACTCTTTAATGACAATAGTTAGACTGATAGATTCTAAGTTCTATAAGGTGGGCACAGTTCTACATGATTGGTTGATTTTCTGGCACAGATCTGGCTTTTCAGGATAATCCAACAATTTTCAAAAGAATTGAGCTCAGGACTTTGAGAAGCTCCTGGATGAGGTTGCGGCCATGATTTTTACTTGCGTTTGGTCATTGACTCTTCAGCAATCCCTCATTAACTCAAATCAACTCAACTCAAATTCAGTTCAAAAGTACATTGTTGATCCCACAGGCCAATGAAATATTTTTGTATCTTATAGATATTTCTAGGTGTTTTTTTATGTTAGGAGATGTAGGAGATGTCAAGAGATGTAGATAGGAAGGATCTGTCCTACAACAGATCTGGCAGAATCAAAATCAGAAAATGTTTCTGCAAGCACGCCTTTAGAGAACTACAGTCTGCTCTAACCCTTATCTTAGACAGTTTCACTGTTGTATCTCTAGACCAGTTTAATGTCTACTGTGCAGGTGAAAAATAAGATCATTTTACTCCTCCACCAGTTCGTCTTTAGCTCTTGATGCAAAAAGTTTTGAACTTTTGATTTCCTAAAAGTACTTTCACACTGAGCCACTGTTCTTTGTACACAGTCAGAGACAAAGTCTTTTTACACACACCAACAGCACAGTATTTCATGTATTTCTAAGGGTGAATCTGCCTTAGATATTTTGCTGAATAGATTTAAATGCACAGGAGAAATTACTTTCAGTGATGCTTGCTTTGTCTACTGTAGGTCAGAGGTAACCAATTAAAAATCAGCGGGGTCCGAATAAAGAAAATCAACAACCAGTGAAGATTAAAGTTTGTTACTTTAAACAACATTTAACACAGAAATAAAATGAGGTGTTTATACATCCATGTTAAACATCGACTTTTTAATTAAATAAATAAAAAAAAATTAATTTTTCCATTTCAAAATCTAAAGTGTTTTTTGAAGTAGAGAACAATAATCGTTCATTTTGGTATAAGGACAATTTCCTGATTCACATCTTTTATAAAACACCTCAACTGACCATTTGTTTGCTTTTTATTTCTTTTTATGGCTTACTGAGAGAAGTGGGCTTTAGGCTAACCTGCAAGGTTTTAAACCTGGGTCGGATTGGCAACAAAAGCCATTCTCAAGCACATATCAAGGTGCTCCTTTGCGAGCCTTGATCAATATTTATTTATTTATGGTGGGGAATCCTGCTTCACAGCAGCAGGTTGAGCCAAACATAGTCAAAATGTGCAGAGTCATCTCTGAGCACGTCATTGCACTTTTCTGTCACCAGTTCACAGCACTTCTTCCAGGAGGCTACACTTTCTTTCACGTTTTCTCATCATCTTTACCCACCGCCCGGCTTGCCACAGCTTTGCCTGCTGTGTCTAAAAGTAGCTAGCAGCAACAGCCCTGACTGACACAGCTCATTGGCTAATATGCATCATGTGTAGCCTGCTCCCAGAGGGCTTTACCATACAAACAGGAGAAGTGGCGCAAGTGAAGTTACACACTGCGGTCGGACAACATGCAGTAATTCATAAATATTCTAAATCAGGTTGGGTCTGGATTAGCCAGTAGGTGGGTCCGGAACTGCGGTCCACTAATCCGTGACCTCTGGTGTAGGCAACAGTGGATTTGATAAAGTAGGTGTATCTGTGCCTTAAAGTCTAGCTTCATTGCAATAATCAAACTGCACAGGGTCCTGATACTTATTTGCTTACTGAGCTGGGCCACCATCTGGATGCTGCCTTGTCATAGCTCAGTCTTTTAAGCTACTTCTTCACTTGCCTTCTTAAAACAAAGGAGTGAGAGGAGAGGCAAAGGAAACACCAGCATCTCCTGATTTGGCTGAAGACAAAAATGTACAGGCAATAGGGTCCATGGCTGAGGTAGAATATAAAATATCTTGAGCTATGAGGATTCTTTCTTTCTTGTTTAGCGGTTCCTTCAGGTCACAGGTAAAGCAGGGTTTGTTATTGAGGGAACTTCTCTCTGCTCTGTCTGTCATGATCTTGGTGCTGATGATTGGCCTAATTACTCATCTCATTCTGACACCATGCTCGACACATTTGAAACAGTTTAATATGGCAGCATCTGCTGGATAGCTACCAGAACGGGTATACCAATGTCAACATTATTTTACGGCTGAACTCGTTTGATCCATAATAATAGTATTGATAATGATAATGTAAATAAATAATAAAAGAAACTGATATCTGACCTGTGAAATTACAACATGATAAACAATTCCTCTGATGCATAACAACTATGCAACTGTGTGGTCCTATCAGTACGATTCAGAATTCTGATTGTTCCTGGTCTCAAAGTTATGCATACATTTGTTTGGCATGTTATGAAATACATCTGGCATTTGGCATGTTATGTATACATCTGTTGGGTTAACATGCATGCCTCTCAACTGACAAATTTAGAGTTCGAATCCCACCTGGTTCCTCTATTTCATATCCATTTTTTTTGTGTGGCTAATTTAGGTTAATTAGGACACTTCTCGGCCTGTGCGGCATAATATTTGACTGTGCTGCACCTACAACTGTATAAATACGTCAATAAATGATCCCTTAAATAGTACTAATGGGGATGTAGTCCAGCAGCATTGTCTAAATTAAACACATATTACTGCATTTATTAAACTCTTTTTGGTCTTTGTTATACCTTGGAATCTGTCCAATTTGTTTGCCAAAGATCTAATGATTGGCAATTATGATAAAAAGAAATAGTGATTTTAATGCCGTCCTTTTTTTTTTTTTTTTTACTATTTTCTCCTCCTCTGTAGCCACAACACCTCATTTATTTTACTCATCTAGAACTTTAGGTTTGATTTAACAGCATCCTTACACAGCCTCATCTAAAAGACTATCAGTCAATTTAATAGCAGCATTACCAGCACATATCTTGCTGATGGTGACAAAAACGTACAGTTTCTCTGCAACTTGCTAAATGCATTGAACTACATACAGTATGTGTAGGAGGTCTATGAATATATTTCAATTTGTGTGTATAATTTTGACTCTGGCTGGATTACTGAATCCCCATTTAATTCAAACGTATTCATACCATTTGTGTTTTGAAAAATGAAAAACACTGTATTGGTCACTATTATTCAATGCTAGACAATATAAACCATTTAATACATATGAGAATAATAGTTAATATTACATCCATATCTATGAGCTTAGGTACATTTCTGTGAGTCATATTTAACTCACTGTCATCATTCCCTCCATCATTCCAGTCTCAACTTTGGAGGGAGCCTGCAGTCGCTCCATGGCCCACCTCTCCAGCACTGAAGCCACTTTAGGATTGTCCACATTGAGCAGTCTGAATCCAGTCATGTTGACTCCACTGTAGCGGTAGGGTTCCAGGTCAAGGGCAAACAAGTCCTGTGAATTTTAACAACCAGATCAAAGATACAGAATAAATGTGGTACAAATTCGGAAATAAACCTTTGAGTAAGCCGTTAGCCACACTGAATTATGTCAAGAGCAAGTAAACATTCAGCAATTCCCAAACATCTTTGCCTGGAAAGGGATTCAGTTAAAATCATTCCTTAACGTTAAAATAATATAGAAGTAGAAAAGCACTTGGAGAGCACAGACCTCTACCAAGCAGCTCTTTCTGCGCCAAACTGTGACTTACACCTATAGCTAAAACTCGCAGAAGATCTGGATCATTGCCAAATATGAATTATATAAATGATGTCCTTTTGCATGAGGCACACCTGTTGTAAAAAAAATCCCATAAAATCCGTTCAGAAGTTTTAATTTGATCCTGCTAACACACCAACAACATTCCCTTTCCTTGTGTCATTGTGTTCAGTAAAAGACCTCCAGACTTATTGAGTCCGATGCTGAGGTTGACAGTTGTCAATGCTGCCACCCTATGGTTTAGTGGAGAATTGCTTGTTCCGCAAAATTTCCTATCTCACAATGTGAGAGAATCTTTAAAAAAAAACTGTATCCAGGTTATAATCTGGATTATTAAAATTTAATGAATTGTTCCTTGGCATAAGGGACATGATACAAATTTATTTAGTCCGTACACTTTTCAAGTTATCCTGTACACAAACAGACAATTATCCTGTAAACAGACAGACAGACACATTTTGTCTTACCAATGTGGTGAAAAAGTAGTGATAATATTCAGTCATCATCCCCATAGACATGATCTAAGCAGAAAAGGAAAAAAAAAGGTATTCAGTTTTCCCTTCAGATGGACTTTTTAAAGGTATGCAGTGTGAATGAAGGTTTAGTTTGTTTTACTTTTTAGAACAAGTCCAAAAACACAATTTTGGGGAGGCATTAATTTACTTTGATTTTCTCATTTTCTGCTATTTGTATAGTTGGTATTAAAGTGGGTCACGGTGAATAAATGTCACAATTTGCTTTTGTCTCTAATTAATCTGTGCAGTGTCTCTTTCTTGATTGGGTAAAGGAAATAGGATTTCTGCAGGCAATAGAATTGGTCTTATCCTGCTCAGAGTCAATGTTAAACCCAAAGCACTGCAGAAAACAACATCAGCAAGCTTCTCTAATATTTAAACCTTCCAAGGAAAAGTTGTTTAGATATGTTGTTGGTGTATAAAATCTGTCCATTCTATAAAATATCTTTACCTGTTTTAAAACGTCAGCTGATGTTTGGTAAGAGCAGTCAAATATAACAAAGAACTCCTTCCCCTTCTTCATCTCTTTCAGCAGGGGACGGGCATCCTTGCTGCCTAATGGAAGCTGCCGGATCTTGATTTTGATGGTGTATCTGGATGGAGCTTTGATCAACTCTTGCAAACGAATCAGACCTTTAATTTAAACAGAAGAGCTTTATTATTGCACATAGCAGAAACCAAACCAAGCAGTACATAATAATTATCTATCCCGATTTTACCTGATACACCTGCATAAAGTACTACATTATTTTGAATTGGAAAGTTTGAGTTTTTACATCCTTTTTACTCATAAAAACCTGAACAAATTAGGAAGGTATTTGTATTCATGCAATCTTTGGGGGTTGCAACTTAACTCAGCCTTAAACATCTAGAAAAATATATGTTTTTTTCCTCTTTGCAAATTGTTTCATGCTCTGTCAGATTGGAGAGCACCAGTGAACATTTATCTGTAAGTCTCTAGCATAAGCAGGAGGGCCACTGATTCTTAAACAGATTTAGGTTTTGATAATGACTGGGCTATTCTAATAGGAACTTCTTCACCCATGTGGAAAAGGACAATGAGACCTGAAGGGGCATGACTGGGGAAAATGGACCCCAGCTCTGAACCGGAGTTGTGTTTCATTTCTGGACTTCGATGCAAGCCATGGATTGTCCATAATGAACAGCATGTTCAGGCATAAGGATGTCCATCGGTGCACTAGGCACCAGGATACCCAAGGCCAGAGGTTGATGACTGACTTTGTAGTCATATCTTATGACCTTCTGCCATATAGCTTGGATATTCGGATGAAGAAAGGGGCAAATCTGTTGACTGATCACTGTATGTTGGTGAGCTGGATACGAGGCAGAAGCTGGATAAACTTGATAGGTCCAAGCGAGTATTGAGGGTCTATTGAGAATGTCTGGTCGAGCCTTTACTTAGGGGGTATTGAACTCCTCTGGGAGAGCTTCTCCCAGATTGCAGAGGAGGCTGGGGACATGGAGTCTAAGTGAACCATGTTATTTGCCTTAATTGTCAATACATCTGCCCATAGTTGTGGCCGTAAGGTCTGGGATGCCTGTTGCCACAACAATCCTCAAACTCAGTTGTGGACACAAGCAGTAATGGATGCTGGCAAGCTTAAGAGGGAGTTTTACCAAGTCTCATTGGCTTGTGAGGCTCTTGAGGCAGCAAAGCACGTAAGTGAGGCCAAGTGTCCTAATGCCTTGGTGGTCTCAAAGGCACAAAGTCGGGCGGAGAGGGGGAAGTTTTTGGAGACCATGGAAAGAGACTGTAGTTTTTCCTCAAAGAAACTCTGACAAACATTCAGGCACCTCCGGATTGGGAAGCTTTGCTTTGCTAACAATGTTCTCAGTGGGAGTAGGAAGCTGCTGACCCTGAACGAGGTCTTCCTCTGATGGTAGAAGGAATACTTTGAGGATCTCCTTAATCAGGCTGACTCACTTTCCATTGTGGAAGAAGAGATGGAGTGCTCTGAGCAAGATTTGTTCATCATCCAGGCTGAAGTAATTTAGGAGGTCAAAAAACTTCACACTGGCAAGGCTTCCGGGGAACATGAGATTTGTACCGGACTAGAGTCCTGCACAGGTCGAGTTTTACCAACCCGCACCCGCCCGGACCCGTTCGGATGACTACCGAACCCGACCCGTCACCCGCAGATATCTTCAATTCAAATCCGAACCCGAACCCGACCCGACCCGTTGATATTTAACCCTCAACCCGACCCGTTAACACATCAAGTAATAGGCTATAGTACGCTGCGCTGCAGAACAGCGCCATTAACGTTGCAGCAGATGTGTATGCACTGACTGTGGCCTTTTTGGAGGGAAGCCCACACTAAAAAAATATCCGCCTGACCCGTTTATTTTTATTTATGTATTTTTCACCTGCAAAAGAGCATTTTAGCAGGTGACCCGTCGGGGACCCGCGGGTACCCGACCCGTTGCAGGACTCTACCGTAGACCCCTAGATGTTGTGGCAGACAAACCTCCTCAACATGGAGGTCAGGAACAGTCTCCTCCTGACAGGGGTGGTGGTTCCCCTGCATAAAAATGAGGACTAGAGTGTGTGTTCTAACTATACTGGGATCACACTTCTCAGCCTCCCCGGGAAGGTCTATGCCAGGGAGCTGGAGAGGAGATTCCTGTTGATTGTCGAACCTTGGCTTCAGGAGAAGCAGTGTGATTTTTGCTTCAGCCCTGGTACACTGGAGCTGTTCTACACCCTCTGCAGGGTGCTTTAGAGTGCTTAAGAAATCACCCAACTGGTCCTTATGTTTTTTTTAGACCTAGAGAAGGCATTTAACTGTGTCCCACAGCTGTGCCCTGTGGAGGGAATTCCAGGTGTATGAAGACGGGACCGCTTAACTAGACCATCCGTGTTCTGTACAGGTGGAGCTGGAATTTGGTCAGCATTAAGACTGATCTGTTCACTTTTCATGTTGGACTCCGGCAGGGCTGCCCTCTGTTACTGATTATATTCATTACATTTTAGGATAGGTTTTCTAGGTGCAGCCAAGGGCCGGAGGTGATCTGATAAGGGGATAAGTGGATTTTGTCTCTGCTGTTTGTAGATGACATGGTTATGCTGGCTCCCTCATGCCAAAATCTACACCAAGGACTTAGGCGTTTTGCAGCTGAGTGGAAAAAGGTTTGTTTAGAAAAGGTTTCTGGCAGTGGTCCTCCCTCCTTTCAGAAAGGTGGAGATAGCACTCCTGCTGTTGGGTTTTTGCCCTCTTACAGCCTCTTACATGTCTCCTGGTATACTGGCCAGTCTCCTGGTAGCACCTCAAACCTCTGGACACTATGTTGACAGACACAGCATACCTTCTTGCCACAGCTTGCATTGATGTACCATCCTAGATGAGCTGCACTACCTGAGCCAATTGTGTGGGTTGTAGAGTCTGTCTCATGCTACCATAAGTGTGAAAACACCACCACCAAAAGTGACCGAAACATCAGCCAGAAAGCATAGGTACTGAGAACTGGTCTGTGGTCCCCACCTACGGAACCACTAGTTTATGGAGTGTGTCTTGCTAATTGCCTATAATTTCCACTTATTATCTATTCCATTTCCATGTGAAATTGATTGTCAATTAGTGTTGGTTTCTACAAGGGCAGTTTGATTTCATAGAAGTTTGATTAAAATTAGGTTTTATGTGTTGGTTAAGTGTTTTCTGTATTTTTTGAGCTGTGTATATTTACAGTGCAATTTCACTCCTCTGCCACCGTATGTTTTTTTTAAATATTTAATCTTTTATTTACTAGCACTTTTTCTGTCTGATTTTAATCTGGTTTTTCACTCACCACTGTTGTAACTGTTATGTAGCTTGGACGTTTTGTAAGTGAATTGCTATTTCTCAAATCATATACAGGACAACCCAACACCATTACTTTAAAATCTGATGATATACTGTGTATTTTAATCCCCCCACTCCACTCCCCACCCTTTTTTCTTTTCTCAAACGAATATATTAGCATGGGTCCTAGTTTTCAACTGCTTTGAGTCTGATTGAAGTGGCCTTTGAATGATCGGATCATCAAGAAGCAGCTAAATGACCCAAAGGCCTGCAAGGCCCGCAACAGCAACCAGATCAGGCAGAAATTAGGAATTGTTTGGATCAATTATTTTAACACTTTCTATCTTTCATTGATATTTTAGTAAAAGATCCAATTGATGTTGAAGTGGATGAATTTAAATGACAACCCATCAGTAGTTAAAGATGCTGAAGTTTTCATTGAGAAGGTATTTAAATGCTAATAATAATAAATTAAGAGAAGGTACTACTTGGTGATCTCAACCCCTAGATGATGTGATAAAAAAAGCCATTTGGGAAATTCTTTTTAGGAAAAAGAATATTTTAAGGTCACAATATTCATATTGATGGATATTGGATGGACTTGTTAATAAATTGCAACTGTTCCAAAAATAAATTTTTTGGATAAGTCAGTCTTTGTGTTAAAGTTAGTAGCCTGTTAGTTTCAAATTTTTTTTTTATTTCAATACATTTTTGTTGTGTATCAGGTAAAGAACTTGCACACAATGGAAACTGTATGAACAGATGGAATTAAATGTTGGATCTTTTTTATGATTGCGCAAAAATATATGTCTAGCTACTGAAGTGGGTTGTAAGCATTTTAAAAAATGTAAAGCTTTTTAATATAGTCTGTAACTTGATTGAGTAAGTTAACAAGTAGCCCACCACCATACAAATGCTGCAGGTGTTGTAGCAACTTTTTATAAACAAATAACTGCCAATTTTGATTTATTGTTTCATTTATCTGAACTGCCTTGATTAAGTTTTCTCTGTGAACAGTTTTGCATTTTATCAAAATAGAACCTCAAATTTTCTGTTGTGTTATTGGGATTTTGTTGGCAAACAAAAGGAATACATAATTGTAAAGATAGTTCTAATTGGCATCTTGCATGTGATCCTAATGCTCTTCTTGCCTTTCCTATCAGTTTAGGTTGGCAGGTATGTCGTGGTATAGCCCTAAAATGGTACCATGCCTTTTCTTTCACAGTTTAGTATTTAGAAATGTTGTTGTTGCAATTTAACTAACTATGAAAAGGTACAAGGGGTACATGTTTTCTTGATAAGTTACATAAATCCTTTCACTCAGGAGTTTATTTTATCATTTACAGCTCCGCACTTTTAGATTCCTGCCTAAGTCTAACACTAATCTTGTGTGCTGTTTTGGTAAATCTAACTTTCACTCACCAGTTGCATCCTCGTAGACTACAGTGACAGCTTTCCACTTGTAGAACTGCACTATGTCCAACACGGCTCTGCTTATAGAGGTATATTCAGGGTGGAGGTTAATGTAGAAGCTGTCCTTGTTGTCCACTGAGGGGTGTTTCCAGCGAGTCTGGATGTGAGGGACTTCCAGTGCATTACAGATAGACTGAACTGCGCTGACAGATGAGCTGTGAGATGGACCAAACACAGCCCCAACTCCCAGTGCCAACTGGTCACATGCTAGATGAATGAATGGAAAAAAACATCTGACAATCAAGCTTACTATTCATGTGTGTTTTATACTATCAAAAGGTTTAGAAATGAATGAAGGTCCTTACCTCTCCTGGAGGCTTCAAAACTGTCGAATAGGTTTATTCTCTGGATGTCGTAGGTCAGCGTGGTGTTTGGCATTAAGGTCCGGTTCCTGTTTATGTTGGTTACAGCAAATTTAAAGGCTAGTTCTTCAACGCTTATAGGCTCATTTTCAAGGGTCTCGAAGATGCCCCCTATAAGAAATAAAATGTGGATTCAGAATCTTATCATAAAGACTTCATAATCTAATCATTGTTAACAAAAACATATAATAAGTACCATTTCGATTGCTCTTTTGCTTGGTTTTTAACTGAATTTTTACAGTTAATGGTTCAGTTTGGTGTGTATGTTTGCCATATATTCTGTACTAAGGGACCTGCATGAGATAACTGGATTTAGTTTCATTCAGCACAGAGCTTGACCCTATCTGGCTTGAGCTTATTTACCTAACCTGATTTTCACAAACTGACACAATGGCTTTAACAAACGTGTAGGAGGGTTGGATGAGGTCAACATGACAAACATGATTTTAATCGCAGTCTAGTGAAAGAAATGAAACATCTTGAATTCTAACATTTCAGTCAGTATAACAAAGCAAGGATTTTGAAGTTTGGAATCTCCTTCAGTGTCTTTTCAATCGGTTTTACATTAAAAAAAAGAATCTACAGATAATTAGATGAATAAAGAAACAAATAAAGTAAAACATTTATTTAGTAGTTCAAATGGAAAATTAATTGTTACATTATACAACCTCAAATAGTCACAAAGCACTGTATCATACATTTGAACAGCCTTGAAAGTGATCTACTTGCTGTATGTCTGGTACAACTGTGCTTTAAATGTTGTGTTCCCAAATTAAGTGCTTTAATATTTTACAGCAGTCTAGAAAAGCAGTGAAATTAGATGATTTTCATCTTGGCAGACACTCACTGGTGATTAGCAGGTTAAAGATAATCTAACATCTACGGTACGTTTCCCTTTTGCACCTGTAACATTGCAAGGCTTCCTCAATTGGAAGAGCTGAAGTATCTTGGAGGTTTGTTCACAAGTAAAGGGAGAATGAAGCGGGAGATCAGCAGATTGGTGTAATGAGGAAGCTGCACGGCACCATTGTGATGGAGAGAGAGCTTAGCTGAATGGTGAAGCTCTCGATTTACCGGTCAGTCTATGTTCCTTCCTGCCCTATCCTATGATTATTAAATAGGGTTCATGACCAAATCACGAGATTCTGAAAAGAAGTAACTGAAACAAGCTTCCTCTGCAGTGTGGCCGGTCTGAGCTCCTTAATCCAGTCTTTGAGGGAGAAGCTTGAAGTAGAGTCTTCACTTCTTCATATTGAGAGGTTTCAGCTAAGCTTTAGGATCTGCTTCAGTTTCCCCCTGGATGCCTCCCTTGGGAAGTATTCCAGGTACATCCCACTAAAAGGAGGCCCAGGAGATGACCTAGGATACTCTGGAGAGACTACGTCTCTTGGCTGTCCTTGGAACACCTCTGGCTTCCCCCAAAGAAGGGAAGCCTACGTGTCTTTTCTGAGACTGCTGACCTTTGACCTGGTTCTTAATAAAGCAAAAAAACTCCAAGGCAATGAGAGGTATAATACTTTTTTCTTAGGAATAAGAAAGCACCACTAAACAATTTCTAATCAAAGAAAAGCTCTAAGTTTGCAGCAATAACAACACTCATATGGAACAGCTAAGTATGTAAGCTATGTTTTTTTTTTATGGAAGCATATTAACTGTACAAACTCCTAGCTCCAAATGGAGACTTTGGGAGATAACAGGAAAGCTAAACATATAACTAAAATGTTTCTCTGTTTTATCCTTTCGAGCTTTAAACCCCTGCCTGTCATGGCAGATACTGGATTTAGTCATGTTGGCAGCATTGTGGGAATGTCAAACCCATGGTCAGGATGCACGTTCTCACTCGAGTATGCAAACGGTGACTTCTGTTAATATGCAAATCAAATATGCAAAGTAAAAAACTTTGAATCAAAAATTTCCGATACTGCTGATTAGAGTACAATTTTTATACATATAATACTTTTTTATTTTAAATAAACATATTTGATAAACTATCCAAAACTAACTATCCAAATCTTAATCCAGCCTGCTGCCCCAGAAACATGGCTGCCCTTCCACAGCTGGCAGTATAGACATACACAACTCGAGCCAGCCATTGGTACTACACAAAAAAGTGTAGAATAAAGCTCATAGAAAAACATTGGGATTAAGTCCAGGAAAATGCTGGTTTGTTATTGCTTCTTGAAAGTAAGTGTTTTAAAAGATAAAAACCTATAAACGAGAGTCTGTGAAAAGACACCATATGTGAATGCATCTTACTATATTAGAATGTAATGTAAAATTACATCTAAAAAAATAATATGGATTCATCAAATGCAGAGTGTTACATTTCACTTGTTTATGGTGTGGACACCTAAAACACCTAAAAACCCAACATTACAGTTTTTTTTTTATATTCAAAAAGAGTTTAACAGAGAAACAATATGTTACAGCCTACGCAATAATAGGAAAATCAGTTTTTCAAAGTAAACTATAAAAATTTAAAGTTGAATAAAGGGAAAAAAAGACTTTATACCAACATCCTTTAGGAGGATTGTGAGGCAAAGCCCACAAAAGAGTTAGGATGAAGATTCTCAGGGTGTGAACTGCAGCTCTAGCATATGCTTTAAGAGCAAGCAAACACAAACCTTTCTCTGTGTTAGCTTCTCCTGGGCCAAAGGCAATATCAGAAGAAGTGTATTTTGCATTTACTTTAATAGAAATATCCCAGAGTCTAATGAAAATTGCTAGATTAGAATACTTTAATGTGCTTGCAAACAGTCCGGTATCCAAGTTTTGTTAAATCTATTGTCATGTCTCCCCAGTCTATGGTGTTTTTGGGGATTATGTCATCTGCTGGTGTTGGTTCATTATATTTAATAAAGTCCAAAGTCAGGCACAGCCATTTAACTCTTATCAAATGTAAGAGCATTTGAGTACCTCCATCACCACTCCAAGCCCCACCCCCTACCTTTCAGCATTGTAACAACTCTGTATGGAAAATCCTTTGTAGTGAGCTAACTATATACATATATTATATCTATATAT